CCTTTGTGAAGATTAGGCTGGTCCTAATTTCATGGAGTAATTCGCTACAATAGACTATTCTGCTTGAATTAGAGTTATAATTTTAAATGTAATAATTTAGACTAACAATATAAATTGTCCGTCCGGCCGGCTTACCCGCTATCGGGTGCGGGGGCAGCAGGAGAGACCCCGCTCTCCCCAACGACACCTTCCAGCTCGTCCTGGGGGACTCCGAGACGTTCCCAGACCAGAGGGGATAAATAATCCCTCCAGCGAGTCCTGGGTTTTCTCCAAAGTGCCAGACTTATTTTGAAAACATTTTAAAATGCTTATTTCAAACCCGCATTTGAGACCACCGCATCGGAGACAGCCCCCCCCCGCAGCGCAGCGCTGTGGCTTCTGAATAAGTGAAAATTATTTAACACAGTTGTTTATACTTTTAGCAGCTCTTTTTATCCCACAGCTGAGCTGCTAAAAATGACAGATTTTCTTTTCTGGATCTCTGACAGACGGACTTCAATCTCTGAACTCGGAAATTTCTTTTTAGTTTTCGCTGTCATTTTCATGAATGGACACTTCCTTGTGTCTGAGGCAGGAAACATAGCCTTATATGGTGTTTTTGGGGTGGTGGCCCATTGTGTGTATTTGAATGTCTTGTGTTTCTTCAGACCTGTGCGCAGACTGAGGTCACAGGAGCAGCAGAAGTCAGTGGCTCTGGATGGAACAGGTAGGAAAACAAAGAAAATCACCAAAGATACCAAAAGCAGCAGGTCGAAGTATGAACAAGATGAAAATAAGTTGTTACATGGAAGGAGCTGTTAATCATTTGATCTGAAGCTAAAGAAGCCATACTAAGATTAAATTAAACACAGACATGTGGACTAGCATCAACAGTTTCAAGTTTAATTTTAAATTCTAGTAAGGAAAAGGAACATGTTTGTCTGAACCAAAACTATTATGAGGGTTCTCTTACTTAAAACGATATACTGTATATACATTTCCAAGTGTAATTATCATCTGGTTAGTCAATAAACTTTGACTCTACAGCAGGGCTAATCAACTGGCGGCCCGCGGGCCAGATGAGACCAGAGTTCAGACCGCCTATTGGCTCATTCATCTCTTAAGCCCAATTAATTCCTATAGGTTCTTTTAGTTAAACATAGAAACATTAAAACATTAAAATCTTGGTTACAAGCTGGAAAAACCATTTCTATGAACACTCAAGACAGTTAAAACTACAAGCAGTTGAAGATAAAACTATGAAAGTGAAAATAAAATTGATTAAAAAATTTGGCAACTCAGATGTCAAAATAATATTTGTTAAATAAGAGGCATAATTAGGGGTCCAAGCCCGAGGAAGCAGGGTAACGCAGCTGCAAAGCAGCAGCGTTTCCATGTCTCCATC